ACACCCACACACCCACACACCCTCCCCAACACACCCACACACCAGCCTCCTCGTCATACACCTGTCTGTGTCTCCTCATCTTAATTAGGTTTGAGATTCTCGTTCCAATGTTGAAGACTGACCTCACCTGACCTGGGGAGACGTCATCAGGCCTTCATAGAGTGACTTAATTTGATCCTACGGCGACCTAATTTGACCTATGGTGACCACATTATGCCTTGACCAATCACTGAAGAATTGAGGTCAGTTTCATTCGATTATGTAAAATAGTTTGTTTATTTTCTGATTGAATATTGTTGAAATTAATTTGATCTTGTAAGAGAGGTAATACATACATACATACATACATACATACATACATACATACACCCTCTCCTTACTCTCAGATGGTGACAAGATCCAGTTGTGATCTGATTGGCCGTCTACCTGAGCGATTATACACCTGAATGTCTCCTAATTTGCTTAACGACCCACTTGAATCGCCCTAATGTAAACACCTTCCCTGTCCGCACGGCCTGAGTTGTGTGCGTGTGTGTGTGTGTGTGAGAGAGAGAGAGAGAGAGAGAGAGAGAGAGCGAGAGAGAGACCATTACCACCATAGCCTCACCCGTCAGAAATAAAAAAAAAAGACGGTAAAAATCACCCATTTCTTTGTCTGTGAAAAACAACCCTAAAACTGACGAGATATGTCGCCCCCTTGTCCCCACTTTGGCAACTGAGTTCTTCCCAAAGGAGATTTTATATCACCCTTAGTTTTTTTCTTCATATTTTTCATCTGTGGGAAGGGGATTTTTTAGGAATCTTTGATGATATTTTTTTTTTGGGGGGGAGGAATTTTTGACAGACTTTTTATTCTTGGTGGAGAATTTTAGGAATTTTTTTTTCAGAAAGATTATTATTTGTGGTGATTTTTTCGAGTTTTGATAGATTTTAGATGGAAGGACAAGATCAGAGGGGCAAGGGTAAGGGAAGGAGTATATGGGTAAGAGAAAGGAAAAAAAAGACGAGCAAGGGGAAGGAGGAGATGGGCAATGGAAGAAAAAGATGGGCAATAGAAGAGGAAGATGGGTAATGGAAGAGGAAGATGGGCAAGAGAATGAAAAAAAAACGGGAAAAGGGAAGGAAGGAAGAGGAGAGGGAGGGGAGGGTAAGAATTGCCCAAACCCAGCAGGTCCTCACCTTGCCCCGGCCAAACAACCTCGCTTCACGGAAATTGGTATGTGAGGGGAGTGTGAAGAGTGAGGGGAGGATGGCAGGGTGGCAGGGTGAGGGGAGGGTGAAGAGTGAGGGGAGAATGGCAGGGTGGCAGGGTGAGGGGAGGTAACAGGGGTGAGGGGAGGTGAAGAGGAGGGAGAATGGCAGGTGGCAGGGTGAGAGGAGGGAAAATAGGGTGAGGGGAGGTTGGAAGAGTGAGGGGAGGATGGCAGGGGTGAGGGGAGGGTAACAGGGTGAGGGGAGGGTGAAGAGTGAGGGGAGAATGGCAGGATGGCAGGGTAACAGGGTGAGGGGAGGGTGATAGGGTGAGGTGGAGTACGGCAGAGGGGAGGAATTTTTATTTTCGAGAGTGAATGTTTGTCTCTCTATCTTTTATTACAATTATTATTATTATTAGTAGTAGTAGTAGAAGTAGTAGTAGAAGTAGTAGTAGTAATAGTAGTATAGTAATATTAGTAATAGCAATAGTAGTAATAGAAGTAGTAATAATAATAATAATAAGAGTAGTAGTAGTAGTATTTAATTCATATAATCATTCCCAATCATCATTATTAATTACTATGATATCAATACTCACCACCATTACAAACACGTCCTTAGAACATTACGATTTAATTCACTTCTCATTACCAAATTTACTTCCTCATTAGCATATCTTTTCACTCCAACAGGTAAGTCGCGATAGGATCACTAATTGGTATTCAGTAAAAGATGCCGCGGACAATAACACCTTTATACACTAATTATATTTTAATTAAGGTGAGCGGAGCAGGTGAGTGTCGTTTATGTCCTTATTGTTTAACTCGTTTTGTCTCTCTGTCTGTCTGTCTGTCTGTCTGTCTGTCTGTCTGTCTGTCTGTCTGTCTGTCTGTCTGTCTTTTGTTTACCGTGAGGTCAAGTGAGTAGGAAGGTCAGTGTCACCTGGATCTAATTAACTAATTACTTACTAATTCACAATCTACCTGCGTTGCTGACCGACTAACTAGCTAGTTAACTGTTTAGGCCAATTAAGCCCAATTAGGTCAAAGGTCAGAGCTGGTTTAACTTTAGTGTAGTCTAGTTATTGGTTAAATTAAATTACTGTTTATATATTATGTTAAATTCTTGTAAGTTTCATTATTGGTTAAAAATACATAAAACATACTTGGAAAAATAATATATCACACAGGAACTGAAACTCATCATCCAGAACTACCAGAAGCCTCAGCAACCAATAAGAACTCAACATCTCTTCAAGCTAGTCTATGATTGGCTCACCCTGACTACAGCTCCTGACAGTGACGACCCTCCATATTATAAAAGGTTAGGGCGTGAGAGAAGGAGTCTAATGACCCCCACTTAACCTGCGGGACAAAAGGTGACCCCAAAATGGCTTTGAAATTGTACAAAAAATAATTTAATACCAGGGTGTTGATTTTCGAGTGTTGGCCAGAAGGATAAAAAGAGGTTAGGTTACTGTAGGTTAGGTTAGGTTAGGTTACTGTAGGTTAGGTTAGGTTAGAAGAGTTTAATCATCACGTGAAATAAAGTAATGTCGTTAAAACACCATAACTACAGCACATCCCGTTACTTTAACCCTTATTTCACGAGTCACTAATTCAGTCAATCAAGAGCGTCAAAAATCGAACCAATCATAATTGACGTGTTATTAGTTGCCCTGAGTCATTTACCGAGCGTGAAATGTTTTTTGAGGATTAAAAAACATTTCTTTATGAATTTTGCTGTTATTATTATTATTAGTATTAGTATTAGTATTATTATTATTATTAGTAGTAGTATTAGTATTAGTATTATTATGATTATTAATTTTATTATTATTATTATTATTGTTGTTGTTGTTGTTCTTCTTCTTATTATCACTCTTACTAGTAAACAACAAGGTGTACACACATTAGACCAGCCAGGTAAGAGTGCTAATTTAACCCAACAAACTGCTCGTTCATCAACAACAAACTACCACTTGCTCGTTACCTTCATTATCGGGAAACATTTTGGTGAGAGTTTTATCGCGAAAATTATCGCTTATCTTTCATGTTTGGGCTAAATATAGTTATATATTTCCTGAACTATCACTATTTTCACTGTAATTACTACTATTCTTGATAATACATACGCTGTAATTAGTGTAATTTGATACAGTATGTTATTTTTAAGTGTATTAATTCATTTATCTTCGCGAAATATTAATTCTATAAAATTTTTGCTCCATTTCTCTACCTGTAAGTGTCACTGAGTTGCCAGACGCACGATAAACGACCCATTTTTTTCACTATCTGCCTTAACAAATTACTGTGGTTATTTAGATTCGTGAAATATATGAGTTACATGACTATATTCGTCCCTAAATACCCTAATAAATTAATAAGGAGAAAATATCATGTTAATAACGGTTGGTAAACTTACTCACCTGCCCTCTGCTGCTGCCCAGGTGAGACTATCACTTTTTCTGTGATGCTGAACATTTCGAGTTTAAAATGATCATCAATTAAGCTTTAAAATCGTCTTTTCTCTCGTTCACTTGTTATTTTCCTTTACAAAATCCAACAGCACAGTCATTGTTATTAGTTATGTCTTTATATAGTTACAATTGATACTGTTATTTCGTTAAAAACACCGAAATATCACACAACAAAAGTGACACTGTTTACTCGGGAATCATCTGATGCTCACTGTACGTTACCTGTTGCCGAGCGCATCACCTAACCTTTCTCCTGTTCCTGATTGGTCACCGTTATCTCGTCTCGCTTCTAATTGGTCACTTCTGTCGTATCTCGTCACTAATTGGTTACCGCTACCTCTCCTTACCCCGGATTGGTCATTACCACCCCGCTTACGTATAAATTAGTAATCTATCCTTTTTTTAACTGGTTATTAGGCAAAATTCAATTATTCGTTGCATTTCTAAAAAAAATTAATCAAAATACAACTAATTACAATCATTAACAAATTCAAACAGTAATTAACAAACATCAATAGAGTTAAGATAAGACCCATACGCCCCAAAGCTAATTAACCTGTAACAATAATATGTGGGTTTTAACCTTTTTTAATCTAACCTAAAATAAACAATTGAAGGTTTTACTCCAGCTCTGACATATTGGGTAACAGGAGCTATAACTCTGCAATATGTCACCCAGAGTGGACCAATCTTGACACCTGGACACTACCTATCTAATATATAACCTGTGGCTCTGTAATACTCTGGGGGACCTGTATGGCTCTGTTATACTCTAAGGACCTGGAGAATATACCTGTGTGGCTCTGTTATACTCTTAGGACCTGGAGAATATACCTATGTGGCTCTGTTATACTCTTAGGACCGGAAAAATATACCTGTGTGGCTCTACCTACAATACCACTAGTATAATCTAAATACTCAATTATATACCAGTAGACATTTAGTATAATCTACGTAGTGAATTATACCACAAGAGGGCCACGTTTTATGGCACCAGTATATCACCTTGGCACTGTTTGGCCCTGTGTGAGTGCCAATTGTATGACTCAGCGCTGTGGTCAGGGATAGTGAAGTAAGTTATGAGTTTAGTTGTCTGGCAGCAAGTAGGAGTGATGGGTGAGAGAGAGAGAGAGAGAGAGAGAGAGAGAGAGAGTTAACGGGAGGTCAGCACTTACTTACCTTCTAGTAGTGAGGTCAACAGAGGTCAAGGATATCAACAGAGGTCATGAAGTTCAACAGAGGTCATAGAAATTAGAAATCAACAGAGGTTAAGGTTATCAACAGAGGTCAAGGATATCAACAGAGGTCAACTAAGGTCAACACATACCTTCCTGTTGTGTAGGTCACGAGTCTGAAATAGGCCAGCGAAGAGAGCAGCTATGTTGGCGGTGTAGGAGGCGACGAAGATCACGCTGAAGGCTCCCCACACGTTAATTAGTACCTTGTTGGGCCACGACTTAGGGGCTGAGAGGGTAGACAACAATAACATAAACAAACAACTTTCTTTATGATCTTTTAAATGGAAGAATAAACAAAAAAAAAGTGGATATTGTTTTTGTTTCTCCTTCTCTTTTTTTTTTCTCTCTCTCTCTCTCTCTCTCTCTCTCTCTCTCTCTCTCTCTCTCTCTCTCTCTCTCTCTCTCTCTCTCTCTCTCTCTCTCTCTCTCTTACCTGTTGATCAAGGCACATTAGACAAAAGGTCCTAGACACCCCCATACTATTCCTTGTATTGTGTTGAAGGCTTGAGAAATAACCTCATATCCAACCCCATTACTTACGTGGTAGAGACAATGGGAGTTAATGGATGGGTTAAGTTGTGGGGATTAGGGAAGGTGAATGGGGAGGGAGGAGGATGGGGGATGAAGGGTGAGGAGGAACGGAGGATGAGGGAGAGGGTGAGGGTGCGGTGTGTGTGTGTGTGTGTGTGTGTGTGTGCCTCCATTATCTAACAGGAGGAATCAACAGAAGGAATCAGAACAGGATATTACCTACATATATCAGGTGTTTATTGGTGATACAACACACGGGAGGGGGAGGGGGGGAGATTGGGAGGGTAGAAGTGTGGAGGGGAGGTGGGGGGGAAGGGGCAGGATTTTGAGGAGGAAGGGGAGGTGAGGAGGAGGTGGGAGAGAGGGATAGAGGAGGAGAGGAGGAGGGAAAGGAGGGATAAGGAAGGAAGGAATTGAAAGGGAGAGAGGCGGGAGGAGGGAGGGGGAAGAGGTGGGGGGGGGGGAGAGGGGGAGGGAGGCGGCAATATGAATGAGCTCTCCAGCAATAGAACATGAGTGCGTGATACAACGATTTGTTAATGGTGTTGAGGTGAAGGTGAGGGGTGGAGGGAGAGAGGGAAGGTGAGGGTGGAGGGGAGGAAGGTGAGGGTGGAGGGAGGAGAGGGAGAGAAGGTGAGGGTGGAGGGAGGAGGGAAGGTGAGGGTGGAGGGAGGAGAGGGAGAAGGTGAGGGTGGAGGGGAGGAAGGTGAGGGAATTGGAGAGGGGGGAGGAGAGGGAGAAGGTGAGGGTGGAGGGAGGAAGGTGGGGGTGGGGAAGGTGAGGGTGGAGGAGAGGTGAGGGTGGAGAAAGGGAGAGAGGAGTGAGGGTGGGAGGGAGGAAGGTGAGGGTAGAGAGAGGAGATGAAGATGAGGGTGGAGTAAGGAAAGGAAGAGAAGGTGGAAACAGATAGATAGACAGACAAACAGACAGACAGACAGACAGACAGACAGACAGACAGACAAACAGACAGACAGACAGACAGACGGACAGACACTCTTCATATTATTCATCTCTTAAAAAAATGTCTCACTATGAACTCTCTGAATACATAATAAGTTAAGTAATAGACAAAAAAATACAGGTGAGTGACAGGTAATTCAAGAGTTGTCACGGCAGGTACCTGGGGGGGCAGGTGGGGTGGAAGGATGAGGGAAGGGGGAGAGTTAGGGGGGAGGTGGAGGGAGAGGGTGAGGGGGGTGGGGAGGTTTGCCTTATAACACTCACAAAAAAATAAACATATAACTATATGTCACAGGTGTAAAAGACTACAGGTAGAAATCTTTCTTTTTTGGGCTAACCTAACCTAACCTATCTTGACCTTATTATTATTATTATTATTATTATTATTATTATTATTATTATTATTATTATTATTATTATTATTATTATTATTATTATTATTATTATTATTATTATTATTATTATTATTATTATTATTATTATTATTATTATTATTATTATTTTTATTATTACATGCAGATATATATTAATAACATTATAATCTGGGGGCAGCATCGTTACACTGTTATTGGAAATGCTAATGATATTGATGTTATGGAGTTAGGTACCAGACAATTACAAGGATGCAACATAAATGGAATGGTGGCGGAGAGAGAGAGAGAGAGAGAGAGAGAGAGAGAGAGAGAGAGAGAGAGCGCAAAACATTAGTATCACCATTATTATTATCATTATTATTATCATTATTATTATTATTATTATTATTATTATTATTATTATTATTATCATTATTATTAATATTATCATTATTACTATTACCATTACTATCATCATTGTCATCATCATCATCATCATCATCATCATCCTCAATCATCATCAATCATCATCATCATCCTCATCATCATCATCACCATCATCATCATCATCATCACCATCATCATCATCATCATCATCATCATCATCATCATCAAAAAGGATCACATCAGAAGCGACTATCACAGGTGACACACAATCATCAACATTCTACCTCTGCTTCACGTGTTACATTTAGAGGTACCTGGATTAGGTAATTGCACCTGTAATTTAACTTAATGAGCCACGAGCGGCGGGAACACACACCTGCGAGTCGCCGTAACGAGCTACAGGTGAAGGTGACTGCGTTTATGAGTCACCGGAGGAGGGTACGTACCTCTCTGTGAGTCACTGGAGGAAGGTACAGTCCCCTTCACTAATGCGTTTACAGGGGCTAGTCAGGCAGTGTGGCAGCCCTGTGTTTGTTTACATTCGACATAAGGAAACTCGCAGTAGTAAACATGTTATGTAGACAAAGTAAAACAATATTAAAACAAACATCTCAATGTAGTGATCAGTGGATGTTTATAACAAGAGCCCCTGTAAACGCACAAGTGGAGGAGACTGTACAGTATATACATCTCTGTGAGTCAATAGATGGTACGTACCTCTGAGAAAAATTAAAATAAAGGTCCGTTATATCGAGGGTCCGTTATATAAGAAACCCCCGATATAACGGATAATATAAGGAGGAAAGTCCTTTATATACGAAACCCATTATATAACGAATACAACGATAAATGTCCGTTATATAGAGATTTCGGTATAGAGAGGAGGTGAGGAAGGGGGAAGGGGCCATACACTAACCTTTAAAGGCGACCAGATGGGAGAAGAGTAGACCCCATATGACCCAGAGAGCAGAGCCGTAGCTGAAGTTCTTGGACCTCTGACGCCCCCAGGGGTTGAGGCCGAAGGGACTAAGCCACTCATACACGGCCACGCTGAAGGCTGTGATGTTGAGGGACACGAAGATAGCGATCCATAAGTCCGGACTGAAGGGGATCAGGAACGCCAGGAGAGGAACTTCCATCTGCCTGACGAAGAGAGAGAGGGAGGGATGTAGGGTTAGTTTTTTTTACTAATTGACGAAGAGGAAGAGTGTTAGACTCTCTGCCTGGCGAAGAGGAAGAGCGTTAGACTCTCTGCCTGGCGAAGAGGAAGAGCGTTAGACTCTCTGCCTGGCGAAGAGGAAGAGCGTTAGACTCTCTGCATGGCGAAGAGGAAGAGTGTTAGACTCTCTGCCTGGCGAAGAGGAAGAGCGTTAGACTCTCTGCCTGGCGAAGAGGAAGAGCGTTAGACTCTCTGCCTGGCGAAGAGATGAAAAGAACCTCTGATTATACTTACACGATGAGACGGAAATATAGACAGGCAGAATAAGAGAGAGAGAGAGAGAGAGAGAGAGAGAGAGAGAGAGAGAGAGAGAGACTAAGAAAAGAAACAGACACATCCACAAACAAAATACCACAGACAGACAGACACTTCAAGACATAGACAGACAAACAACAGCCTCCATCTTCACTACAGGAAAGATGAGATACAAAACATAAAATCACTAAATTAAATTCAAGATAAGGTCGAGGTGAGGACGAGACTTGCCTCAGTAAACTGGCCGCCCGCGTCAAACTCTCCAACCAACACTAACTATTTTACAACTTTTTTACACCCTGATTTTTTTTTACACTTGGGAATTTACAACTATGGATTTCTTTTGTTTTATCTATCTATCTATCTATCTATCTATCTATCTATCTATCTATCTATCTATCTATCTATCTGTCTCTGTCTGTCTGTCTGTCTATCCTTTTTTAACATTTTGATCGACAAGACAATCCAGAAGTCAAGCTGTTTAACTGACTCTCTCTCTCTCTCTCTCTCTCTCTCTCTCTCTCTCTCTCTCTCTCTCTCTCTCTCTCCTTCTCTCTCTCTAACATCATCACTGAATTTCTTTCACCCACCATCGGACATTATTTATTCCCCATGCGTCTCGTTCCCCTAAATCTCCTCTTTTGTCCTCTTCCTCTCCTCTTTCTCCTCCTTCTTCTCTCCTCTCTTCCTCCTTTCTCAAAGATTTTCCCCGGCAGCTTTTACTTTCCCTGTCAAAAGACTTTTACTCTCTCTCTCTTTTTCTTGATTCTTTCTTTTTCTTCTCTTCTCTTTTATTTTTTATTTGTTTATTTATGTTTTCTTTTGTGTTTTATTTTTACCTGATTTAGGGATTTGTTTTAGTTTTGGGGGAATTTTTTCTTTAATTTTAGGGATTTTTGGTTATCTTTCATTCCTTTACTTCTGTCTGTCGTTCTGTCTGCCTCTCTCACTTTATCACTGTTTTTGTTTGTCTGTTTCTCTTTGTCTCCCTATCTCTCTCTCTCTCTCTCTTCCTACCTCTCTCTTTCTCTCTCTTTCTCTTCCTATCTCTCTTGATCTCGCTTTATTATCTACTATATTTACTGGGAAGTTTCCGTTATTTATTGATTCGGAATTCAATAACTTTTTCGGCTTTTCCTTGAGCCTCTTTACTGCTTTCTTTCCTCTCTCTCACTTCTCCCTTTCCTTTCCTCACTTCTTGCCTCTCTCTCTACCTCCCTGCTTCTATTTCTTCCCTATTTTTTGCGTCAGATTTGCGTCTCATTTTTTTGCGTCAGATGTGTGTCTAATTTTTTGCGTCAGATTTGCGTCAGATATGTGTCTCATTTTTTTGCGTCAGATTTGCCTTTCATTTTTTGCTGCAGATATTAAATGTTTTGCCAACTCGATAGTTATATTTTGGTGGGGAATATTTGGTTTGTTCCAGGTCAGAATGTAATCGAATTTATTCTATCGGTTTGTCAGACTCCATAAATGTTTTTTTGTTTTTGTTTTCTCGTGGTCACGTTGACGGGTTTGGGTTGATCTAATGGAAAAATATATTGTGGCGACCCTTACATGTTGATGGTTTATGATTTTATTGAACTAAAGCAAATTTATTCTACCTGTTAATAAGATTTATTTTTATTTTTTTAAGAATATATATTTTTCTATGTTTTTATTGAATTTATGGAAACAAATATGATCTTTATTAAGTAGAAGTTAATTATGACACAGGTATTTTGTTTTTCAGGTGTTATATAAATTATAAAGGTGTCTTGGTCCACTGATCATAACCTAACCTAACCTGACCTAGCTTGACCTAACCTGCAGAATAGATTATTTCCAAAGAGAGAGAGAGAGAGAGAGAGAGGCGCTCATCCCTGGGCCACAGCACTCTAACCAATTTCCTGTTTTCTGTAATGCCCTCGGTACAAGTTCTTCTCTCTACCTCTCTCTCTCTCTCTCTCTCTCTCTCTCTCTCTCTATCTGTGTGTGTGTGTGTGTGTGTGTGGTCATTTCGCCTTTCCCCTCCCTCTATCTCTCTTTCTAGCTGTCTCTCTACCTGTCTCCCCCCTCCCCCCCTCTCTCTCTCCACCTGTGCCACTGTACAGGTATACGACAGACTGTTATAAGGGCCTTAACTATGCCTGCCTCTTATGTTCATGCAGTGTAAACATGCAGCCTATGAATAAATAAATTCCTCTAAATATATTCACCACCGTGGCTGCTCTCACACACACATCTGCTCAAGAAATATTTGGCTCCCACGAGAACACACGGTAAGATGTATTTATGTATACTAGACACAAGACCAATGGCTGCTTGACTTAGTTAGGTGAGAAGAAGGTCATGTGCTGTGGTGATGGAGGAGGGAATGCCTGTGGGTGGAGGTGTGGTGGAGGAGAAGTAGAGAGGTTTAGATGGAGGAGGAGGGAAGTGGATATGTAGGTGGGTGGAGGAGTGGTGGAATTGAGAGTTGGAAATATTTGTGGGTGGAGGAGAGGAGTAGAGATCTAATCCCAGCCAAAAATAGATTAAAAGTTTCGAACCTAACCAAAAACAGGGTAAAACTTTCGAACCTAGCCAAAGATAAGGTACAACTTTCGATCCTAGCCAAATAGATTGTAAAAGAAAATTCAATTCTAGCCAAAAATAGGGTTAAAAAATCGATTCTAGCCAAAAATAGAATAAAACTTTTGATCCCAGCCAAGATTGAGTTCCTTCAGTCACAACAAAACAACCCTACCAGGAAAGACTCAATACTCTCACTGATCCTTCCAGCAAGATTCCTTCCAGACTTCAATCAACAAGACTCGACCCATCCAACCAACCCACAGGTTCTGCAAGTTAGAGTATCAACATAGTATTCCCGCCATTTCCCCTCTCCATTCCTAAGACCTCTTGCTGCCCCCTCTTTCAATCCTTCCTTTCCCTCTTCTCAACCCTTACCTATCTTCCCTCCCTTGCCTCCTCTCTCCCTGGCCTTCCCTCAACTCCCCTCCCTCACCCTCCAGTAAGCACAGCAAGTGAACTATATCGCCCTTCCACAGCCAAAGAGAGCCAAGCGTCTGTAGTATACCACCAGCTTTAAGCAGTCCCACCTACTCCACTGCACTCCACCCCACCCACTCCACCCCACCCCACCCACAGACTACGCTTCCTCTTTGAAGGCTGTGTCAAGCTTGTTATTCTGAAGGTGTGTGAGGCGGGTGGTCTGAGATATGAATTACGCCTGATGTTTACATGTTTACATTCTAGTACAACTTTTACGGGTGGAAAGGGGGAGGTATATCTTTTAAGGCGCCTTCATTGTAAACCCCATCCTAACCTAACCTAACCTAACCCTATGAGTGCTGTAGGATAGTTTGGGTCGACTAGTGGTCCCCGGGCATCCGTTGGCATGCGAAGGGTTATCTCAATCAAAACTCATACTACGCCAGCAAACCAGACAAAACTAGAGTAATAATCCACATCTTACCATAAATATTCAGTCTTTATTATCTATCTATAAACGATACAACCACATACATCCCAACACGAGTGAGAATCCCATCCCAATACCAATAAACGGCGGGAAGAACATCGGATCCTATTTCAGATGAAGAAAATAAAGGATCAAGGTAGCAGATCTGATCTTAAAGAGACTTGGATTCCATTCCCTGGTAACTGCTGCTGTGTTTATGATGTCATCACGTCACGACGAGAGTTCTCTGACGTCATGACAACACAGTAGGGTGGCTGACGTAAACGACCATCCTGGGATATTGTCACACATTAATAATGTTTATACCTGGGTCATCAAAGAGGCAGGAGGAGGGGGGTGAAGGGTGAGGGGAGGAGAAGAGGGAGAGGGGAGATGTGAGGGGGAAAGGGGTCGAAGAGGGGGAGAGGGGGGAGAGGAGGGAGAGGAGGTAGGGAGATTATGTAAGCCAATACTGTCTGTCTGTCTGTCTGTCTGTCTATCTGGTGTCTGTCGGAAATTAGCGTATTTCTTTGTCGATTTTTTTTCTATTTTACATGAAACATTTATTTTTCTGAATCTCCGTGACCCGTAGATATGACTTTATAAAGTTATACATTAATCTAAACAACTTTTTTTTATGAAACTTTGTCAAATTAAATACTTTCTTACAACTTTACTTAGAGGAAGGGCGTGAACCTGTCTTACGAAACTCTGACTCACGACCAGAATCCACCTTACGAAACTGAATCAAACCCAGAATCTACCTTACGAAGCTGCTAATCAAGACCAGAATCTACCTTACGAAACTCTAAGAATCAGGACCTAAAATTAACACTACTAACTACACTATTCCCTTAAGCTCGAATCTTAACTTACGTCACATTAACCTCAGACATTTGACCAGAAAATTAAAGCAAAAATCACCTGTGCGTATTCATACAGGTATATGATTTTGTCCCAGTTTTCCCCCGACCCCCTGTTTTTTCCTTGTTTTTCCTCCGACCACCTGTGAAATAATTACTTCCTAATTTGATATTCAAACTCGTAAAAGCAGAAACAAAAATGTAGGTTAATGATTTTCTGTGTTTTAATTAGTTAGAGATTAGTTGAGAGATAATGACTCGTTCTTACTAATTAGTATTTGTTATTGATTACTTACTGTTTATTATTACTTATTATATCATACTTATTACTTATAACATAATAATAACAAAAACACAATTA